TTCCAGCCACCGCCTGCGACAAGTAAAGCAAAATTTTAAAGCCGCCGCCGATGAGCACCTCAGCTGGCACGACATCTCTAATTACAGCTCCTTATTGAACTAAAATGTGAAACTCAAGACTTCTTTTTCGTAGTAAAAATTCATTCTTTGTTATGGAGTGGCAAATACGTATATTGCATAATAGTTAAATATTTCACCAACTAAACAAATAGAATTTGTTAGCAGAGTTACAAGAAATGTCTATATTTTTCTTTACATATTTTAAGAACACATTTGACTTATGATTGCCAAAAAAATTAAATTTCTGGCGCTGATATTTAATGTAAATATTCATGAGGTTAATAATCATTGTGTTAATTAGCATAATAAAGATACACATGGTCAATAAGTATGCTGCTTTTTGTATGTGAGTAGTCATCTTTCACAAGTATGTCTGTTGTAGAATACAGTAGCTACAACCGACAATACAATGATTGTCAAATTTATTGAAATAGTTATCCATTTTTTATGAATAACAATTTAGAAACCATAAAAGTATTTAATGGTGCGAAGAATGCATAAAGAAAGTGATTAACTAATGGGTTCCTGTATTCATGATCAGTGGTTTAGGAGTTTGCTGTTTAAAAAACGACAACAAGTTGTAGAGAAGAATGTAATTTTATAGAAACAACAGCTTCTATTTTAGTTTAAATATATTTGAGCTTTAATATATTAGTTTGATTAGAGAATGCATGGTAAATCAGGTTTTTCCTTATATGATTGTGTTTTATTGTGGATAATCAAGTTTTAGCGCAAGACAGTGCCCTATGCCAAATGTTATTTAATAAACTTTTGAATAGTTGAATGCATGAGTTCATAGTAAATGTAGGGATTATTGTCTGTTTTTAATAATTTATAGAATACAAGCTTGATAAATAATATGAAAACAAAAATTTTATTAAATTTAACTATTCTGAAATTAAAAAGTTCAATATTTCATTGTTGTTCGTATGTTTCATTTCAGTCAGATGACAAAGAATGACAAAATTTCAGACTCATACAACATAAGTCTCATTACCTAAACTTGAATATTTTTTTTCAAGGCCTTGATTATATTATACCAATGTCTACAACCATCCACAGGTTATTTATATTCTGGTGTTACAAAATTATTTCTCGCTACTTCGGAGAAATATTAATAATCTATAACTTGTTTTCTCTATTTTCCGTGTGCATAATTGTTAGAATAACATATTGGAACCATCTGAAGGCTTGATTTCTTCTTTCTAATACCAAATTCTAGAATCTAGGAGGAAACGGGATGGAAGCCACAAAGTCCTTGGTTTTAACTTATAATTACTATTTTCTTCGAAAGTACCAGTGACTTACACAAATATCGGCTTTTAGCATACAATATAATGATCCTTTATGTTCACTATGAATTTACTTTCAAAATTCTATTTATTGTAGTTAGAAACGCACATACACCTTCTAATGTAATCTACAGTCGACTTACATTAAATTCAAAAATTATGTGTGATGATTAGAACGAGAACATTTTCTAATTAATTAAAACTAAACAGTTTTCTACCTTATCGCGTTCAAATTTCTATATTAATACTTCAGTTACAGACACTCATGGTCGATTGCTCAATATTTAAGTTGAAATCTGATGAAATGGCCAATCTAATTTGCCCTTTTAAGAGACACGTAGCACTATTCTAAAATTGTAGAATTGTGGACTAAATATATATGAATTGATGTGATATTAGTATAGATGGAATCAATATTCATATATATACTAGCGGAGGTACCCGATGAAAAGGGAATATAGTTAAAGTTTTGCATCTTCCACCGAACTTTTCCTGCCGTGCATGACACGTCTTCTACAGGACTTTTCCCGTTGTGGGTGAACTTTCTGCAACAGAACTTTTCCTGTCGTGCGACAGGCCTCTTTCACAGGACTTTTCCCATCACGCCTGAAACCTCTTGGGCAGAACTTTTACCTACATGCCTCAGGCATTTTCAAGAGGATTGTTCCTGCTGAGCGTAAGGCGTTTTCCACAGAACTCTTCTCGTCGCACGTGACACATCTTCCACAGGACTTTTCTTACCGTATCTGTAACCTCTGCTACAAATCTTTCCCCACCGTGCGTGATGTATGTTTCACACAGCTTTTGCCGCCGTGTATTAGGCATCTTCAACAGGACTCTTCTCACCGAGCTCAAGCTGGCATATTCACTTACATCCGCCCGAGACACGATCACTCTCGAATTTGCATTGAACTGCGTCATTTGATTAGAAAGTGAGTAAAATCGCGATCTCTTACGACGTGGATGAAATTTCACGCACGCCTTCCCTCTCACTCCGATCAGCCTGTCGACTTTTTTCTGCACTCAAGGAACTGACACGGATATTTCCGTGGCGCTATCTCTCACGACTACTAAATACATAGCGAACAGACTCATCAGAATCTAGACCCGTGTAGGCCGCGGTGAAATTCCATCGCACTTGTTACTTTCTTTATTCGATGGATATTTCCATCTATACGGTTCCTCTTCGTCTTATACATTCTATTCGTTTTTTTCGAGCATCCTAAAATGTCTTGTGCCGAATGGCAAAAGCTCAGGTTTTTATATACTTTTGCTCTCAAGTTATGGAAGAACAATCATGCGCGCAAATTCTCTGGAAAAGACATTTACTATAGTACATTTAACAATGGGTGGGGTGGGGGGCGCAAACACCCCCCTGAGGTGAAAATTTGGGGTTGAAAACTACCCTATGACCTTCTCCTGGTCGAAAGGGTATTCTCTGCAAAATTTCATTGCATTTGCTCGCACCGTGTTGAAATGCATGAAGAACAAACAGACAAACTTTCGTCTTTATATATATATATATAGGTAGATGTTACGCACTTACGTGTAGTTTGCAATCTTTTTGGTAGAATATTGTAAGGTTAGTTAATCACTATCCAATGTAGTCCAATAGTTTTCTATCTTTCGCTTGTGAACAAACTAATAAACTAACGTTTAATATGTAAAAGTGACGGATATTTATACTGATAGGTATGGAATAGAAGGGAAGATACTGGAAACAGGTAGAGAAGATAAAACTTGTCAAATGACGCATAACAATCGCGAGAAGAGAAAGGAATATACCAGAAAGAGAACGACAGACGATATGATGTAACACTGACCGATGGATGACAACCAGAAAATGGCACTACATAACACAATATGTATATTTTATATGTTGCTTGAATCGTCGGAGAATAAGAAACGTTTTAGTGAATATATCGCTTTTTAGTGAAAAACAATAGAAAAATACATTTATTTCTCTATTTATTCTGAAGCAAAACACTGGAATATATCAAAAACGTCATTTCATAACGTGAGATGAAAATTCCACTGTGATATGGCTTGGGTGAAATTTCACCCAGGCATCGTCTCTGTGCCCTTATCAATAGTACCAACCCTCTTAAAGCCTTCCCCCGGGCTCAGGAAAGCACCGTGGAAAGTTTGGCAATGTTTGCTAATTACAAAAAATTGAAAAACTAAAAAGATTTAAATCTAGAAATTTTTAAAAGAAATTAAAATTATGCATTCTACTGCTTATAGTAGAATGACTTATGAACAAAAATGTGATGAACACTGCTATTTATACTGATTTTCTGTGACTAAGTTTTATTGTTCGGGTGTAGCCAATTACAAATAAGGAATAATAATTTATAATTGGTCATTTATAACTACAACGGATCGTAGAATGTGATAACTAGGACGCAGTTACGTTGACCGGCGTCACAATAAGCGTAGTTTCTTATAGAAATCTTCACTACGATCAATGCGCCATAGTTACGCGTAACTGCGACGCAGAATTGGCTCTGCGCGTAAGTGCGACACAGTTGATAAAAAAGAGGCGACATGGATTCTTTTATAAGCAAAAACTCGATCGGTATTGACGGAGTATCAAATCGAATAATAAAATTACTTCTTCCAAATCATTTTTCAATAATTCTCTCATGCTTGAATAACTTTGCAGCGACGTTGAAACGTCATCGCATTGGCATGTTGCCAAAATGATTCTTCTATCGAAAGCAAAATCAAAAGTTATTGCAATTGATGAAACGAAACCAATCTCATTACTACCATGCTTTTCAAAATTATTTGAAAAATGTTCTTTTGACACACGTTCGCCAATGAATTAATGAACAAAGCATTCTTCCTGCCGAGCAAACCAGTTTTCGTCCGGGACATAATGTGGTCATTCGAATAGTTGCTACTAGAAATTGCACGGAATTCAATCCGATTCCGGAATTAGGTGAAAGCGGAATCATTGGGAACTAGAAGGAATTCCGCTCAATTCCTGTTCGACCTAATTCCCGGAATTCCGTAAAGGAATTGCAGCGTGTGGATGTCAATGTGGGTATTGCGATAAGTGTGGGTGTCAGTGTGGATGCACTGAATTCCGTGTAATTCCGGAATTGAGTCGGAAGGGATAAACGGAATTCCGGGAATCCGATGGAATAGGTAGGCAGTGACTCAGAGCATTCCGGAACTGTATTGAAAGTGGTCAGCGGAATCGCCAGACTTAGATGGAGTGGGTTCCGTGAGCGGAACTGGTTCTAAAATGTTCAACATTGCGGAATAGGATGTATTCTCTATAGATCAAATAGGACAAAGCCTGGCAAAGAACACGGTAGCTGTGGCACTTTTCGTTGACTTCCGTACAGCTTTCAATCAACTTTGGTTCAATGGTTTATGGTTAAAGCTGTCTAATTTACAATGTCCATTATATCTAATCGCATGGCTTCGTCATTATTTAAGAGGAAGAAAAGCATATATAAGTATCAAAGCACGTCGTCGATCATGTTCATTCTATCAAAAGGTGTTCCTCAAGGTAGCTGTGTTGAATCAGTGCTCTTCATAATATATCATCATAACATTCTTGAAGCACTATCAGCTATTCATTGGAAACATCTATTTGCTGACGATTTTGCAGTTTAATTCTCACCATCTTCATATATGTCCTCATCAAATATGGTAAACACATTAATGGAACAAATAAAACATGTACTTCTTCGCCTAATTAAATATTCAATCAAATGGAAGCAACCAATCAACTTCAGTAAAACAAATTGGATACTATTTTATCGTCAAGTTGTTCCACTAATTCCAAATATTGTGTGTGAAAGACCCAATATTGAACATGTCAAGAAATTCAAATATCTTGGTACAATATTAGACGCTAAACTATCATTTACTGAACATATTGATTACATCGAAGCAAAATTTCGCATCAATATGAGTATATACAAACGACTAGCTCCCACTCGTATGATGAGTGAACAAATTAATTATAAACTGTACAATGCATTCACTAGACCGTATCTTCAATCAATACTTAATTTTTTTCCTATTCTTTCGCTTACTAAACAGAGACAATTTGAAGGAATAAATCGAAAAATCTTTAAACCAATACATCAATGATTCAATGCAAAAAAAATCGAAATTGAAAATCTTCCCAAATACAAATCTATCTCGAAATTAACCTACATGCGTTAGGATAAAATAACGCATACAATACTTGAAAACAATCCAAGCGTTATCAAAGATTTTCTACAAAATAAGTTGTCGATTGCGTACCTATATGAATATCTATCAAATCCAACACTAGCAAATGAAAGAAGAAAAATACTTGGAAGAGGGAGAATCCGCAAAAACATTGGTAAATTGCTGACTGAAGATCATCTATCTCTATTTGACCACATTTTATGTTATCACTAAGTAAAATCATTTGATTCTCCACCATCTGTCTATATCATATGTAATTCTTAGTCGATACCGTTTCAAGTCTCTTTTCTTTTTTCATTCTCATTTGTTGTCGCCAGCGAAAGTTATTTCAAACGTTTTTTTTTGTTTTTTTCAGGCTACAGGAGTGAGGTTTGCTCATAGCATAAATAAAGCATTGTAGTACTACTACTACTACTACTACTACTACTACTACTACTACTACTACTACTATATAGTTTGACTAATCTTATAAAGAGTGACTCATTTGTTCTTTTTGATTTATTTTTCGGAAGTATGGTTGAATATTTTATTTTTTTAGAAACAAGTTTTCGTTTCTTCCATTATTAATTTTCATAGAAGCCAACTTATTTCCACATATTGAGTAGTTAATTGGAATAGCAAGCTATTCAAAAATCATTATAGCTCATTAATAAATAAACTTTGCCTCTCACAATTGAATGTCAGTTTAACAAAAGACTACAATCAACATTCACGAGCACGTGACCATGTTGAAATCATTGCAATGTACAAATGAATAGATTATTTTTAGAGTATGTGTGTGTGAACTGTGATTATGGCTGTTGCTGCCTACTATAGATTCATGCCTTCATATACAGTCGCAACCATAGCCACGCTCTACCCTGAATCACTTTGTTGTACTTTTTGACTTCTTTACTTATTCTTTAATTTAACTGACTGTTATTCTATTTTATTTATATTAAAATTTTATTACACAACTTTTTAATTTAACAACTGGATCATTTAAATAGCTTATACTGGTACTCCAATATATAACTAATCATTCATTCAATTAACTAATTTAATAATATATTTTCTTACTGATCATACCATCTATTTTACTTATCACTTAAATCTATGCCATACCTCATCCTGCCACGAAATACCTCTTAATTCATATCAATAAACGTCCTGCTAAAGTGAATTTAGTAAGAAAAATACATACATGTACTTTTATTTGTTCAAATGAGAAGATCGATAGATTTTGCACACTTGTCTATATGTCACTGCTACAAATGCACGGAATATGTGTCATTCTGATTTCGAATTGGTTGTTTATGTATACCGATATCAATATAAATATTGCAATAGCCTTATAAATTCTTGATATTAAAGAGTTTATTGTATAAAAATAAAAATGACGTCCTTTTTATTTGCCATTTTTACGTATCGCAATAGAATTTCTGTACTAAAGTTGTCTATTTATAGAAATAAAATATTTTAAAGTTATAATGATGACAGTAGAAATAAATATTACAATTGCATATTTTTTATCTTATGTATATAAAGCAAGGAGTCTTTTGCAAACTCACATTGCTTTGATTACTTTTATCAACATGCATTTACTTATATTTTTCATTTGTATCGTAACTATCTCGCAAGCAACGAATGATAATCAGCAAGTAACACTTTGGAATCTATTCAAAAGTGTTCATAACAAACATTATACTAACGTACGAGAAGAACAATATCGGTGAGAAGCAAAAAGCGAATAATTAATTTGAACATTGAAAAAAACTATCTTGTTCATTCTAGCCTTCGTGTATTTAAACGTAATGTAGCTATGATTGATCAGCACAATCTTGAAGCTGATATGGGTCTACATTCTTACAGACTCAAAACAAATCAATTTGCTGACATGGTAGATAAATACATTCTCTAATCCATTGTCTTTTATTTCACTATTGTTAATTATATAGACACACGAAGAATTTGTTCAAACAATGTTGACCGGTCTCAAAATATCTTCAAGTACCAACTTATTGAAAAAATTGAGTGAACGTCAATTTCATTCTTCATCCAATGTAGAAATACCCGCAGCTGTCGGTAAATATTTTATATATTAATATTCTTGAATAGATGGCTGTTAAGCTTAGAAAAAAAGACTAATCACTGATTTTCATAAAAACTATTTACATTGAAATTGATTGAGAATTTGTTCGAATCAAGAAACTCATTTTTTTTTGTCATATCACTATAGAAATATATTTTCTTTTCTGAGTCAATCCGTTCAATTCTAGTATATTCTCTCATTAATAGATTGGCGTAAAAAAGGTGCTGTCACTACTGTTATCGAAAATCAAGGTCAATGTGGTTCATGTTGGGCTTTTACAGCAACTGGTGCTCTAGAAGGGCAGCATTTCCTTAAGACAGGGCATTTAGTTCGATTGTCAGCACAGAATTTAATGGATTGTTCCGGTAAATTCGGTAATCAGGGCTGCAACGGAGGTTTGATGGATGCTTCATTTCAATACATCAAAGCGAATAAGGGAATAGATACAGAAGCGAGCTATCCATATGAAGCTCAAGATGGTAAATGTCGTTTTAATCCAAAAACCATTGGTGCTACTGATACAGTCAGTATTGTTTTATATATTCTTTTTATTTGTTAAATTTTTATATTATAGGGCTTTGTAGATCTTCCTCCAGGAAACGAGACAGCTTTACAAATAGGTATTGCTAATATTGGTCCAATATCGGTAGCAATTGATGCTTCACAAAGTTCCTTTCAATTTTATTCATCCGGTGTTTATGATGATCCTGCATGTTCAACAACAAGTATTGATCATTCATTCATCCTTGTTGGTTATGATACTTTTAAAAATGCTACAGTCAAAAAAGAATATTATATTGCAAAAAATTCTTGGGGTGATTCATGGGGTGATAAAGGTTATATTTGGATGAGCCGTAACAAGCATAATCAATGTGGGATTGCCAACATCGGCAGCTACCCTTTAGTTTGAAGCTGTTGTCATCAAAATATACACAAAATATCAGTGCTTCATTTTTACTTTCAATATTTCTATATTATTATTTTTTTAAACATAAATAAAAAATGATGATAATTCGTTAAATTAGATTCACAATGTTTCACTCAATCGAAAAATACTAGATTGAGTAAAATCATGTTTCATGAAACAAAAATAAAACGGAAAAAAACTTTCGAAAGATTGAAGAAGGGTTCGTTTAATAATAAGTTGTTCATAGAAAAAATTAATTTTAATGTATAATACTGTAACGAACTACGACGCTATCATATAGCGTTATATTTTAAAGATATGTTGAAACAGAAAATTTTCTGTTATTTTTTATTGCATAAGTCGAATATAGAGATATCCGCAAAAGTACTAATTCATTGACTCTAGTGTTGTTTTCGGTTAACATATTTTTCAAATACATTAAAAGAAGCAAAGTCATGAAATGATTGCTTTAATCTAATAGCTATATTTTTTTATTAACACTACGTATCTTCTTATCATATCTACTGATAAAATGAAGAAGAAAAAAAGAGTTTCAATACTTATTTGAATTTTTAGATTCATTTAGGTTTGTTCCCAATTCCCAGATCGTAGACGTACGGTTGGAAACGATTGTAAAGCATGGGAAATTGCTGGAAAGTGAAAGCAGTATTCCGACCGGAAATTACCGGATTTTTTTCCTATGGATTCCGGTCAGTTTCCTGTGCTTTCCTGCTGGAAAATGACCAGAATACACCGGAAAAAATCCGTCAATTTCCGACCGGAATATTGCTTCCACTGTCCAACGCTTTCCCGGGCTTTCTGGCCAGATACGGTGATTTTTCCGCATCGTTCCGATCGGTTCCTATGGTATCCGTACTCCGGAATCATTGATCTGGGTTATTTACATAAACAATATTTTTCAAAGATCTACAAATACATTAAATCATAACCGATACTTTGTATCAATTACTAAAAGGCAACATTACATATTTGATAGGTTAAAAAGTTTTATATAAGTTAATTATTTTTCGAAAGACAAATCTATTAGCGTTAGTGATGTACACTTCACTAGTCGACTATCTTGACTTCGATCTGTCCAGAATCTTGTTTTTCCTGAACATCAGACAAGATTCTTGCCTGAAAAAACAGATCTTGTCTTTCCAGGTCGAACATTCCGGTCCCGGAAACGGCCGGTTCTGTGGTATTCCGGAGATTTCATGGAAGCAGTATTCCGGTGAAAGGATCCGGTGGCCAGATTTATCCGGTTCCGGCTGGAATCGAAAGGAACCTGTCAAAACTGGTAGCCGGATTCCTGCATCGAACTCCGGACAATTCCCGGTGGGTTCCGGTCGGAAACAGCGAGTTTCTTGCAGGTTTTCGCCGGAAATTCACGGAATACTGCTTCAGGAATCATTGTCCTGGGTTTCTGGCAAGATTCTTATGTTCTTGCATTCTTGTCTGATTCTTGTGTTCTTGCAATTCTTGCATGATTCTTGTTTTCTTGCAATTCTTGCATCTTACTTTTCTGGTATGATTCTTGTTTCTTGCCATTTTGGTAAGATTCTTGTTTTCTTACAGTTCTTGCCATTTTTGAAAAAATTCTTGCAATACAAATGAATTTCATTTAGGCATCCATACGGTTGCCTCCTTTCGGTTCTATTATATTTTAATTCCACATAAAAAAATTAAGAAAAATATAAAAAAAAGAAACGAAAAGCACTAAACAAAACTGTCTATTTAAAAAATATATCTGCTATAGTTCGTCCGTGTCATCCTGGCCTCGGATTGCACGTTTTTGAAAATGTAGGAATTAGCACAGGATCAAACTTTTTAAAAATACAGGAAAATGTGTAAAAAATCAGAAAAAAATAGGATATCGAAAATTCGTTGTTTATATTCGAATTAAACGTTG